ACACACACACACACACACACACACCTGGGTAATCAACACTATCCATAGCTCTAAGTCTCATGGGAGGGCTGCTTTCCTCTTCTCTCTCTAGTTTTCAATTGTCTCTCCCTCTTCCTTCCTCTCCTCCTCTCTGTCTCTCTGCCTTTCACCTCTGCCTTCCTTCCTTTGCCCTCTCTCACTTTCCTCTCTTTTATTCCTTTGCCTCCCTCCCAGTCTTTCTGTTTTACCTCTTGCAGAGACAGATGAAGCAACTCCACACTGTGTTGGAGGATGTTTCCTGTCTCCCTCAGCTCAAACCTCCACCCACCAATGCTTGGCTTCGGAAAAGAGACTTTTATTACAAAATAAGTTTGTTTTCATTAAAATGTTCCAGATTTCTAATAATGTGTGATAGTGTTATCTGAGAAAGAATGTTTTTGCTCAGCTGAGCTATTTCTTAATATGAATAATAAACACAACGTATTTCAATACCTTTTTCCAAATCAAACCACTCCTGTGTTTTCCCCTGTGCAGGATGTGATGTGCATGGGTTAGTTGAGTTGCCTCAGACATGACCAGCATCTACATTTGCTACATCTTTTATAAGTCAGTCAGCAGATTAGTCAACATGAGTAAATCAAGAATAATGTGTAGTCAGTAACAGAAAGAGAAGTGACAACATTGAAACCAGAAGGATTTGAGGAAGTGTGTCACTCTGGGAATTGTATTGCAGCCAACTTCTTTATAGCTGTACTCAGTCCCTGATGTATGAACATGGTGTCAGCAATCTTTACAAACTATTGAAGCAATACTGGAGGGCAAATTTGGACCGCTTTGACCTTTTAAATCTGATTAAAGCGACAAATTAACGGTTGAGATACGTTTCAATTTACTTTATACATGCTATAAACATGACTTAACCAAGCCGATCAGTGACAAAGTCTACAGACTGATAAGGCAGAAATAATTCAAATTGTTTCATTTAATCAGAGTAGCTGTTAATTTCAGCCTTACTTATAGTAGAGCTGTGTTGCATCAGCTGGGTCCACAGGGCTTAGATTTAGTGGACTTTGACATTTTGACATTTTAGCACACACACACGCAGAAACGCAGACACAGACAAAGAGAGAGAGAGAGAACCACACAGATGACTCGAAAGCAATGGCTTGCAGGGCCAGGGAAGGGAAGTTCCTTCTGCAAACAGGGAAACGCCCTAAGAGTGGGTGTGCGTCTGTGTGTGTGCGTGCGTGTGGGTAATGACAAGATGATGAGAGAGGAGCAGGCACAGGTTCTGTCTCATCACAATACTAAAAGTCCAATAAAGCAACTCAGTCACTTTAAGTTTATTAGAAAATTTTCACAGCTGAAATTACAACTGACCGTCACCTTACTGTGCTGTTCAGGAATCAAAAGCCACTTTTTCCTGTCCAGCTCTAAAGAAACTAATCTGAGTCTACCCTCTGTAAATATGGCAGTTTTTCCTTTGTAACCCTAAGACAATACAAACGGTCGATATTCATTGCAAAACAAAAAAGATTCAAGAAATTCCTGTGAAGTTGTTTCAACACACATCTAAGAGCTGGATGTCTTTGTCTCGGGGCCACAAAACCACACCAGGCATACAACTACCATGTGATTACTACTGCGCATAACACATCTTTTAACACTATTGCAAACAACTGTGCATGGGTGCTCGAACATGAGGTGGACAAAAAAGATTTAGTCCTCGGGTGCATGTGCGTGGGACATCAAATAGTAAGAAGTTAACTATTTGACTTGTGCTGTGCATGACAATATAAAGTTCTAAGTGAAGAGAACAGAACAGAAGTTTGAGGTCATAGAGGAGTCAATTCAAAAAGTAGAAAGGAGTGATAGACCGGACCACTTCCCTCTGTGACTGCAGAAATGTTTCTTGAAGTTGCTCTTCAGTCAAAGCCATAAACTATACAGGTGGATTTTGCAGCATTGAACGTCACTTACTGGTCAAAGTCAGGCTTCTGACACCTAACAGACAAATAGCATCTTGCAGGATCCTTTTAAAAGTCACCATCACCCTTCTCACTCTTCTCTTCACTTTTCTATCATTTCTTTCTAACATCACCCAACCCGCAACAATGATGACTCTGTTTTCTTCGTTCGTGCAATGATGTTGTCTCAGGCTATACACAGTGGCTTTTTCAATCTGTTATTGCTCTTATTTTTTGTAATCATCACAGCTCTTAAAATGTGGTGGAAATGCAAAAACAAAAGTGAACTGAGGATTCTTTGAGTTTCTAAGTAGCGGCTGATTTCTCAGTCTCTGGGGCTATTTGGAATGAGAAAGAGCCTGATTGTTTTCTCCAGCCCTCTCTGCTCCCCATCTGACTCCATCTCTTCTGACTGTGTCCATCCTAGAATGTCCTCTGACCAGAAGGCCGTTCAGCTGAGTTCAAATGAAATGGGGCTAATGGGGCTCACTGTCCTCCAGTGTCAGTTCCCAATGACACACTGACTGTCATTGACCTACAATGCTGTGCAACACGAGTCAAAGTGAAATGTAACAATCAGCTCCTGATGTTAGTCGCAGGTCAGCAGGCAGGCTTTGATTTGGAGTACAAATCAACAGCAACATAACTTAAGTTGGATAAAAAAACAAAAAAACAATTGAACCAAACAACAGACACTGGGTCAGTGTGGTTTGATGTAGGAACGACAACAAACTAGGGCTGACACTTTTATGTGAAATTCGAACATTCATTAAAATATAGCGGGGAAAGTTCATATTGGAAATTGTAATGACCTGTTCGATTTCAAAGTTTACACACTAGAAGTGCATCTGAACATCTGAAATAGTTTCAATCGTGATACAGTAGAGGGCGATCACTCGTGTGCAGTGGGTGCGGTTTTCCGGTGTGAGTGTGTGAACGTGAATGCGGCTCCGGGGAATTTAGAGAACGTTTAGGCTTAAAACGTGGTGTAAATGACATTGATTTTGAATGTCGGAGGCATTTTGTGTTTTTTTTCTGTTGTTTTATAACGTCTGAAGAAGGAGTCACTAATTGTACTGGATTTGGCTGCAACACTGTTTGACCCTGAGACTCAAACACTTCACCCTGCCCTCCATTGTCATAGTGGTGAGTAGATGAGTGAATTCTCTTTTTTTTTCGGTGAACTATCCCTTTAACATAAACTGCTGATAAACAGCCATTTCTCTGTCATTGGGCTCCTGTTCTCTGTTGCCTTCTCCTGCATCTTACACTACAGAAAACATAAATGAAAAAATACAACTAAACGTGTGGATTCCGTGTGCTTTGAAAATAAGTGTTACTTTTAGAACATAAACCATGGTCAAATTTTGTTTATAGTCGCCACTCCTGTTGTTTAGCACGGCGGTCACACACTCCCAGCTATTTTAACTTGGTACGTGTGACGTCTTTAGCGCTACATAGATTGCATTGGGGACAAGAGTCTGCGAACAAGTCCATCTCTACAGACTGTTGTTGCAGACCAGGGACTCTGAAGGAAACTATTTGGAAAACTTTACCACTGGTTTATCAAAGCACAGAAGTGAAACAAGTCAGTACCCAAACTGTTGTGATTGCATTTCCCCTTCGCTGTCTTTTTAAGAAGATGTTAATGTTTAGGAGAAAACTGCACAGAGAGACAGCGCTTCAAGAGTGAGTGTTAAAGGGAAAGGCACTGTGTGGCCAGCACAGTCAGTGCACGTTATGACCAATCCTTCAAGCAAATTGGCAGCAGTGATCTCAGCATCATTGTCACTCTATCGTAGAAATGGTGTGTTCAAGTCGTGACTCTGTAACACAAGTAGCCTACACAACAGATTTTTTACACAACTGTGTGTCTTTGGGACTTGTAGTCTCCAGTCCACCTTGGAACAGGAAGTGATTGTTTTGTTGTCTTTCTCTTCCTATATAAATAAATACCTTTATGTAATAAAGTGTATTTGTGTATTCATCTATTTGATAGTAACACATTGCATGTTCAAAACTAAATATAATATATCGGTTACACAGAGGTGTGAGCTTAGAACTTCAAATCAGATCACCCGTGCTGGGTTTCCATTTAAAAACACTTAAACTGCAATGTAATGAAAATGCAGCACACATAAATAAACAGAGGAAAAGCTCAGATGCTTGGTCAGCATCTCCAGCACTCACATCAGTCCATAACCAAGTGTTTTCTTTTTGGGGCTGTGTGTATGTTTGTGCGTGTGTGTGTTTGTGTAGTGGAAGTCATTGTTCAATTGGCCCCAGTTCCTGCTCTGGTTTCCCACGATGAGACCTGTTACATTGCTGAGAGCCCACTCGCAGACATGCACACGTTCAGAAAGTGTCTGTTATCTGTACACAACAGGCCTCATCCATGTCCAATTAATAGCCTGTTTGCAGTGAACTCAATTATTGCCTATAGAAAATCTCGTGAGGGACCATTAAGCTTTGCTATACTGCAAGTGCAGTCATGACTATTACAAACATAACAGTAAATGCATTTAATGGGCAAAAACATGATAGAAGAGCTGCTGATGCTTTAACTGAAGCCCAGGTTCATTTGAGGAGGAGTCATTCCATTAAACAGAAATTCATCTGTGGCAAAAACACCCAAACAATTACTATTCTGTAGAGCTTCACTCTTCACGAAACAAAAATCCAAGCTAAAAACCACCTTCATCAATGCAGCTTATGCGTTATAAAACAACTCTGTCTGTGGGTCGTTGACATGAGAAACACTAAGATATGTGTTCCTGAATGAAATAGCTCACCATATCTGGAGATTCCCCCCCCTTTAAACCTCAATGAATGTGAGTCACAGGATGACATTTATGATTTTACCACAACTGTGCAATAGCACCTTGTGTAAGGGCCAACACAGGCCTTACTGTCCTGTGCATTTCTTGCATAATTTCCTCTTTCAGGAAATCAAGTGGCAATTGACACACACACACACACACA